CTAGTAAAAGATATTTCCTAACTTTCATGGGTTTTCCATATCTACAAAATTTATTGCAATTTTCATATGCTACTGGGTAAATCAAAGTGAGCATAAAGTTTTAATTTCACAATTTTTATAACTATACGAGATGATACTAAAAATGTAGTTTAAAGTAGTGATGCCGAGAGACGAGAGATTCTCGTCTCTCGTCTCGTCTTGTCTCATCTCGAACGAGACGAGAGAGACACTTTCTCTCGAAAACAGATTCGAGACGAGAGAGTGTCATCTCGACGAGAATTTCTCGTTTCTCTCGAGCTCTCTCGGGCTCTCTCGAACAATTTTTTCTTTGATTATTTGAAATTTTCAATTGCTTATCGTAACTTAAAATTTTAACATATTAGATTTCGAGATAGTCAAAAAGTTAAATATAACACACCTATTCTATATATATTAAATTGTAACAAATGATACTTCTGTTATTAGGATTTTATAAATAATGATTTATAAGAAAAAAATATTTTTTATTTTATTTATTTAAAATTTATATAATCATTTCTTATATTTAATCCATTCTGCTTTTCTGAGGTTACTTCTAAAGATAAGTTAAAAATTCTTAAGCGTTTTTTCGAAAAACTGTCAAAGAAAAGGTAATACAAACGAATGTATTATATACAGTCAGGACGAAAATTGTACTCTCCTCTATTTTAACTTCTAAATGAAAAAAGATAATGACAAAAACGAGGGAAAACTCAAGAGATATTATATTTTTGTTATAACGAGATGCACTTTACTTGAGACACGTAAGATAGAGGGAGTTACTAGCTTTAAATTTTCTAATGGAAAGTAGGGTCATGTGATATCTCATTTGAAAGATATTTTCTATATTTTTACGTTCATTTTAACAGATTTAGATTTTCATGTTTTTACAGAAATTACATTAAATAAATTCATTAAGTAGGTTAAATTTTTTTTATTTACCGCTTTAACCTCAAAGCATCGTTACCGAAGGTATAATACCTTATAAATGCTATTTTTTAGAATAGTATAATTAACATTTTGGCTAGTACAGAGTAAATGTCAGTATCTTTTATACATTTACGTAATTTTTTACTGTTAGAGGGATTTAACACTGCACAAATGGCAATTTTTTATAGCTGGTACTTTGTTTTTATACGGACATGTTCTGAGCCTTTACTAATAGGTATAGTCCATTTAAAATAACGGTAAAAGGTCGATAAACGCCGCACTTGACGAGACCACTTGTCCCCTACGTATTTTGGTGCGCTGATTAGGAAAATAAGGGTTAAAACTAGCAGCAATGGTTGGAACACCCCTAAAATTGCAAAAAAACACCCCTAAATAAGGGTGTTTTTCGACTGTACTTGCTGTTTTGCAAACTAAGCCATCTTATATGTTTTTTGGGACGCTGATTACGAAAATCGGGGTTAAAACTTACAGCAATGGTTGAACCACCCCTAAAATTGCAAATTTTTCGACTGTACTCGTTGTTTTGCAAACTAACTCATCTCATATGTTTTTTGGGGCATTGATTACGAAAATCAGGGTTAAAACTTGCAGCAATGGTTGAACCACCCCTAAAATTGTAAAGAAACACCCCTAGATAGGGGTGTTTTTCTATTGTACTTGTTGTTTTGCAAACTAACTCATCTCATATGTTTTTTGGGGCGCTGATTACGAAAATCAGGGTTAAAACTTGCAGCAATGGTTGAACCACCCCTAAAATTGCAAAAAAACAGTTGCAATTTCGCCGACTTGGACAAAAAGATAAAATGCCGCCACTTTATAACAAAAGTTAAAAGAGATAACCTAAACCCTTCCCAAGCTCAGTAGTAAAATAATACACGAGCAAAAAAAAATTGGTAATAAAAATGTTGATGTTTTGATTTGTCAAAGATAAAAATTTCATGATTTAAGATTTTGGCACTATATTAAAATTAAGGGTGCAGAAAAAAAAAGAAAAGACCCAAATCTACTATATTATATTATAAACTGCATAAATTAAAAAAATAGTAAAACAAATTATTGAACCCTACAAAGAAAAACCTAATTATTGAAACAAGAGTGAAACTTAAAAGTGTTTTATTTCACTTTTAATTCTGAGAATTTTTTGGCTAATGTTGTCAAGCCATTTAGCTGATCCTCGGTAGTTGTAAAGCGACATTTTTTTTAATTAACTTTGATTTGGACAAACTTCTTTCTTGACTTGCCACACTTATCGGGAGAGTAAGCATGATTCTTAAAACTATACCGAGATTTGGAGCTAAATCCAGCTTTGAAATGAATTTTGCATCAAAAAATGGTACGAATGTTAGCTCCTCAGTAACCATCACTTCAACTACTATTAAAACTTATCTGCTTCCATCATTATGTAGTGTCTATACTGGTGAATTGTATGCAATTTTTTAAACATTTAAGTCTATAACCCAAGAAAATACACATGTGTGCAATTTGTACAGATTCTTTAGCTTCTATTCAATCCATACAAAATCTCTACACTCAACATCCGCTAGTTCAAAATATCCATAATACTTGCAACTATTTGACTTCTTTAGGAATTTCCATTACTCTGATTTGGATTACATCACACATAGGAATTGATGTCAATGAAATGGCAGATAGAACTGCAAAGGAAGCACCATTATCAGGTTCCTCACTAGAAGATGTATAAAATTCACAGTGACCTAAAAAGAAAAATTAAAAAATCAATTCTTGAATCATAGCAGAATCATTGGAGCACGTTGAAAACAAAATTGCACGTAGTTCAGCATTTGATCACCCCCTCTAAACTACTTCATATGTCAAGACGAGAAAAAGTGGTTATTAAAAGAATGAGAATTGGACATACCCGCCTAACCTATGTCCACTTAATGAAATCTGACATCCCACCAATTTGTCAGCACTGTAAAACGACTCTATCTGTGAAGCATGTTCTTGAGGAGTGTACTTAATATAAAGACAATCGTACAAAATTCCAGTTAAAAAAAAGTATTCGACTAATTCTAAATTCTCCTGATCAGTTACTCAAACTCATACATTTTTTAAAATAATCTCTTTTGTTCCATCTTATACCGGGTGTTCAAATTAAAGTGTTACAGCTATATACCACCTTTTATAAAAAAAACGTTTTAGACAAAAGTTTTATAGTTTTGTGGGAAAAAATTTTTGGCTAAAATCGTTTTTTATAGCTAACCATAATATGGCCAACTTTTTTTTCGCTTAGCAAAATTTTCAAGTAGTTGTTACTCAAAAAGTAAAAGTCAAATAAAAAATATTTCCTTCAAAAGTTTCTTATTTTTTATGTACTTTAAGAATATGTAAAAATAAAATATGGTTCCAATTTAAAAAAATATAGTCCACCTCGATATGGCCATATTATGGTCAGATATAAAAAAATTACTTTAGCCAAAATGTTTCCCCCAAAAAACTATAAAACTTTTGTCTGAAACTTTTTTTGTAAAATGAATATTTTCGGAGGTATTTAACTGTAACACTTTAATTTGAATACCCGGTATAGTTGTTGTTAGTTTAAATGAATCCTTAGTCTAGGGGTGTTTTTAAGATGGCTTAGTTTGCAAAACAACAAGTACAGACGAAAAACACCCCTATTTAGGGGTGTTTTTTGCAATTTTAGGGGTGTTCCAACCATTGCGGCCAGTTTTAACCCTAATTTTCGTAATCAGCGCCCCAAAATACGTAGGGGACAAGTGATTTCGTCAAGAGCGGCGTTTCTCGACCTTTTACCGTTATTTTAAATGGACTAATAAGTTACATTCTTGATAACTCTCGTATTAACAATTATTGTTTGTTACTAAAGAAACGCTTCTTGTATTTACTAAAATAAATAAATTAAGAATATCAAAGGTGATTTAAAAACCACTTGACGTATTAAAATTTTCATAACTTCTTGGCAAAAAAAGCTTATTAAAAAATTCTCTACTTCTACTAACATTTCTAGGATTATTGCGGCACACAAGGATTATCAAGAATGTAATTTTTGTAAAAACAAAAAAAATAAAACTGTGCTTGGACGTAAATTTAATAATATCTTTCAAATGAGGTATTACATGACTTTACTTTCTATTAGAAAATTTAAAGATAGTAACGCCCTCTCTTTTACGTCTCAAGTAAAGCGCATCTCATTATAACAAAAATATCATAATGTTTCTCTAATTTCACATCGTTTTTGTTTTATGTCTCTAACTTCTTGCATTTTAAAAACATACTACATAATGCTTTCATTTGGAATCGCAGGATTGCATTAGAAATATTCTAACATCCAATTTAACATCTTCCCCCTCCCCAACTGACTTACAAGACAAAGTATTTTCGTTTTTAGTTAATGCCTAATCTGGGCAACTTATTACTTCAAATTTTAATTGTAAAACGACTGTGACAGATGGACAGATAGAGAGATATAAGTGTTTCTTATTGCCAAATTTGGGTACTAATGCGTAAATTACTTGAAAAATTCTTTGTTTTTGTCTTACAAATTTTACCGTTTATTCATGTTTCGTCTTTTTTAAATTTAAATTTGATATTGTTTTATCACGAAAGAAACGAGACGAGACAAGACGAGAGAAAGGCTCTCTCGAGCGAGAGAAGTGCTTTCTCGTCGAGACGAGAGAACAGTTTTCTCTCGCCCTACGAGACGAGACGAGAGAGGCCACTCTCTCATCTCCACTTGTCTTGCGGCATCACTAGTTCAAAGCGTTTTACTTCAAATGATTAAATTGTTAAAAATGCATTGATTTTATGTGTATAAAGTTACGTATTCTTTGTACCAAATAGAAAAGCAATAACGTAAAATAAGTAAAATTTTTGAAAACTTGCATATATATTAAAAAAAAAGTTATTTTCGACTTCCCCAATATCATATTATAATTTAAAGAAATTCTGTCTGTTTTGAAAAATTTAATATGTGCGATTGGCTTTAAAATTTTATATTTTAATAACAATTATAGATTTAATTTGTATCTAATTTATTTTTTTCTTTTCAGTATTTCGTCTTTGATTTCCATATGCCACCCATAATGCTTTTTGACAAGATTATAATGTTGTCGGTAAGTTTGTCTATTTTGATTTTCCATAATACTATTTAATTAGAAATTTTAAATCTAGTGTTAAAGCAAAGAAAACATATTTACCGCACTTTACCTAAATTCATAATAATTTTTTTCCAAATATTTATGAAAATATTTAAGGGAGCTGTTTTTTAGGTGTTACATTCTAAGACACTTTTAAGAACTGGAACAGTGGTGGGAACTTTCAAGATTGATGTGAAGACAGTCTACGATGCACCGGGTACAGCACCGATGCTTTCTTTACCATTCTTGTTGAGCATTATTTTTAACATTTAAAAAACCACTGTCTGACGTTACGCCATTTTTTGTTTTTCGAAAAAAAAAGAGGATTTCGATTGTGGTAGTGTTTCCATTAAAATTTTATAGAAAATAAACTAATTATTATAGTTATAGTTAATACCAGATAATAGAAAATAGTTTTGATTTGCTTTATTGAGAAGCCATAAATATGTTTTACTCAAAATTTACATGTTTTACAAAGATTAAATAATTAAAAACTATATGTAAATTCCTGGTATAAAAACAAGATAACGTAGTGAAAAATAGTTTGTATGAGAATTGGTATGTAGTAAATCCAACATTAAAATTTATTTGAACCAAGCTAATAGATTAACAATTGGTTTAACAGAAAGGTTTAATAAGAATATTTCTTTCAAAACAGTGTTTTTGGTGGTACCAAAAGAATAACTTGCAACACCAATATTTGTAATTCAATTTTTAAAATTTTGGTGGACAAACTAGTTATAATTTTATAAGTAATTTAGAGAAATTTTATATTAATATAATTTAAATATAGGTATAACAGTATTTTAACGAGATACTGTCAGGTATTTTATTTTTAACTTTTCGTCTTACTCTACAAATGGATGTACTAATGACATCAACACTTTCATGTACATTTTTTTATAAAAAAAAATATATTTTCCTCTCTTTTTTGAATTCCCCAATAATAGACGATTACGATTATCGGGAAATTCATAATTGAAGAGAAAAATATCGATGACAATGTAGCGTAAGACGTGCAGCTGACCTGTGAAAGCATTTTGTTAAAATTACCCATAGGTTATAGGTATAAATTACTAAAATTAATAGGAAGTGGATGGCTCAGATTCTGAACTTGCGAATCGAAGGGCCCACGGTTTGAATCTCACCGATGGCTGGGTTTTTTTTGATTCAATTTATTTAAAAATAATTCTTAATCATGGGTAGGATTCCTCATTCTGACTATTCACTGTTGAATTCTAATTAACAGTGCTGTTCCTAAAGTGGCGCTAGGAAACAGTAAGAGTGCAGCAGTATTGAGAGTACTAGCACTCCTGCTCTATGGAGTAATAGACTACTAGTTCACTCCATTACCTACATAAAACACGACCTAAGTTGTCGTAGCCGAAGACCAATAAAAAAAATGAATACAAAGGGTACACTAAGAATCTGACAAATTTGCTCAGTTCAGTAAGATTATAGTGAACATACTGTCTATTCTCTGTTCTTCCACTCTTGTTCTTAATAATACTTTATTCAAATAAAATTTTTTTACTTTCATTTTTTATTTGTTCATTATTTAATATAATATATGTATTATTTAGCAAAATTATATAAAAATATAGATATTTGCCATAAAAATTGTGCTATCTTGCATTTTTAAATATGTGTGTAAAACTTAATTATTTAGTGTTATCAAGAATATTCAAGATACCATTTTTTGTCTGTAAAATACCATTTTTTTAAGTGTCGAACTACTTTAAACAGTTCGAAACAGCTGCTGGAGCAAACGAATGGTCTAAACAAGACCATCGCTCTTCGAGGAGATGCTTTAGATGTTCTTCAGACAATACCTGTGGAAGAGACAGATGATTTTGAACAACTCAAAAAGAAACTGAACATGCGATATCGCTACGAACACTTAGAGCATTTATACTAGTCACAGTTAAAAAATCGCAAACAGAAACGAGACGAGACTTTTCAAAAATATGAAGTAGATATTGCTAGGTTGGTGGGATTTGCTTAGCCATCAGCTCCGGAAAACCTGATGGAATATTTGGCAGTCCAAACATTTGTTGATGGACTCCGTGACCACGAGATACAGAAAACACTCCGTTTAGCCCATCATAAAACATTGGTCGATATCTTGTCCACTGTTCTAGAGGATAAGGTAGCAACGCAGGCTTCTGGAGGATACAGTAAAGTGAGGACTGTAAAAGGAGAAAACATGGAAGATAAACTCGACCAACTAGTTAACATAATGAAGACCTTTACTGATAAAAAGATGAAGACAAAGACCATTAGGTGCTGGAATTGCGGAGAACTGGGACATGTACGCAGATTTCTCTCATGGGCACATATGTCTAACATTTATAATTTCGCTACAAATTCATCGCAAATTTCGTGTCTATGGTTCTGATCAAAGAAACGAAAAAACAACTTTATGGTAAAAGCACTTCTGGCGGCGAGAAATTCGCCATTAAAACTACCTGTGCAATGAATTTCCGAACTATTTTTGCCTGCTCTTTTGATTGGTGCATTTATTTTTACTATCGGAATAATACTTGCCCAGATAATTAGCATTTTTATCATGGAAAATTCCGGAAAATCCGGTTTTTCCTAATTTAAAAAAAAAAGAACCACAGCTACATTTGTTTTGCTTCTTTTCGAAAAGATCACATCAAAATACATAAGGTCCACTTTGTTTCATCCAATTACAAATAAATGTAAGCTCTAAGGGGCTTGTTTTCGTTATTTAATTGGACTATTGGAATAGATGTAATGAATTTATACCCAGATAGCACAAATACGTCTTATGGATGTTCTAAAAACGTCCTGCTTGGACATTTAGGACATCCTTAAAACGTCCTTTTCACGAATGTGGACGTCTTATGCGACGTATTTTGAACGTCCATTGTTAATAATCAGGATATCTTAAGAACGTCTATTTAAGGACATTCCATGGGCATTTTCAAAAGCTTAAATGGGGAATGACAGTATGTAACGAAATTAGTGAAAATAATGAATAATTTCAAAAAATTTTATTTGGAAGCAAATAACCTATAAATAGTGAAATTATTAAAATTAAAATTAAAATTATTAAAACTTTTTCGCCAAATTCATCCCGTCTTTTCTCTACTTTGCTCTTTTCAACCATGCCTGGATTGAGAGCAGTTGTTTTTTCTTGATTTGGCCATATTTGCCTTCTCATTTAACCTGAAAATAATTTAATTGCTTATTCAAAATAAAAGGCAGATCAATATGAAAATCCAATCATTGTTTAAGTTTGCCTTACTAGACTATATGAATTCACTAACCTTTTAGCTTTGTAGTATTCACCGAAAAACTCCTCTACTTTGCTCTTTTTAACTATGCCTGTTGACAGCAGTCAGTTGTTTTTCTTGATTTGGCCATATTTGCCTTCTCAGCTGAATCTAAAAATAATTTAATAGCTTATTCAAAATAAAAGGCAGATTAATTTGAAAATCCAATCTATTGGTTTAAGTTTGCCCTGCTAGACATTATGAATTCACTAACCTTTTAGTTTTATAGTATTCACTGGAAAACTCCTCTACTTTGCTCTTTTCAACCATGCCTAGATTGACAGCAGTCAGTTTTTTCTTGATTTGGCCATATTTGCCTTCTCAGATAAATCTGAAAATAATTTAATCGCTTATTCAAAATAAAAGCCATATCAAAATTAAAATCCAATCTATTTGTTTAAGTTTGCCTTGCTAGATATTATAAATTCACTAACCTTTTAGCTTTGGAAAACTTTCACCTTTCTCAAATATAAAAATGGTACAAATGGCGAAATGATAGAACTTGTACTCGTATAACATGTATATACCATCGAATCATAAACATTGAACAGCATGTTTTTTTTTTAATAAAGCCTGAGCCCTGAGAATATTTCACTTCAGTGCTTGAATCTGAATCATATCTAAATAAATAAAAATAAAAAATAAAAAATGAAATGTCACTTGTCAACAATGTCACTTTCTTGCAAATGATCTTCTTCGGTTTTGTCTATTTGGCCTTCATTCAATTGTATATTGGGACAATGTCATCTTTATTATTTATATTATGTAATTATATATGTTTTTTATATAATATAACCAAATAATAATACAATACGAATGTGAATCCATGGAAATATAGTAAAACACGTAGAATTGACGTTCTGCGGATATCTATTTCTTGACGTCCCGGTGATACTTGGTAGAAGTGAAACCATTATAGTAGCACGATTACAAAAAACTATGGAAGAAGGAGCACCTGTCATGATGGAACCTTGGAACCACGACAAATGGGTTGGACGAGGAATTCTGATCGGAAAGAGGTTAGTAACGTCTATTAAACGGGACCAGAATCGGAACATGTGTACTAGTAACTTTCATAATTCGTTAGACAAAATAAAGGAGTTTCTTCGACGATTTCGTGACATTTTTCTACCAAAAGAAGGAAAAACAGGAATAACTTCTGTTGTAAAACACAAAATTGATACTGGTGACGCCAGGCCGATTCGCCAATCAGCTCGAAGATTATCAAAGGACAAAAGAGAGGAAGCTGAAAGGATTGTTCAGGAAATCAAGGAAGATAGTGTGATAGAACGTTCTACCAGCCCATGAGTCTCTCCGGTAGTCCTGGTCCAGAAAAAGGATGGAACTACGAGGTTATGTACGGATTACCGTCAGTTGAACAATGTTACCAAGAAACACAGTTACCCTCTGCCTTGTATAGACCATACCTTGGACTCATTGGCCGGAAGTAAACTATTCTCTACCTTAAACTTAAAGTCTGGATACTGGCAAGAGAAAATGGATCCAGTAGATAAAGAAAAGACAGCTTTTACCACCGGATCTGGATTGTAGCAATTCAATGTTATGCCATTTGGATTATTTAATGCCCCCGCAACATTTAAAAGACTTATGGAAAATGTATTAAAAGGGTTATCGTGGAAAACATGCCTGGTGTATTTAGACAACATCATATTC